TACGCATGCCAGGGCATAAACATGCCTGACAATTTCTGCACAGAGATGTTGTTCTGCAGTATAAATGGGGCAAAAACAGGATGCAGAAAGGAAAAGTGAAGGTTACTTTTTCTGACTGTAAGTCATATTGTCCTCTGGAAAGTGTTCAAAAGGAACATTTACATCCTCCTTCCATTGACTAGGTGGGAAGAATGACCTCCACAAATCCCCATCACTTAATTCCCTCTTCATCTGAACTCTTCTGATTAGATCTATTTTCCTTTGCATTGGTCCTCTACAGTCTGTGACTTGCAAAGGTATTGTGATCCCAGAGACAGATAAAGAACTATGGAAGCTGTGTCCTTTTCTCCATCAGTTTGAGCTCCTGTTTCCAGCTTGTCAAGCTGGCTTTATCTATCCTCTTCTGGGCTCTGACCCCTGCATAAAGGAGAGCAAAACCGGTTGGGTGCGGGAAGCAAATGAGGCCCCTTTCAGGAGTGTGCCCTTTGCCTTGCTCTACTGCCAGTATACAGAGAAGCAAGGTTGAAAGCATAGTGAAAAGAGCAGGAGTTCTTGGTTAGGGGAAGCTACAATCAAGCAGGGTCATTGATTTAGAAAAGCTACTTAGAAATGAACAAAAATCTCTCCTCTAGGTTTTCTTACAGTCACATTAATGGAGACAAACCAGACGATTTCACACGAAATAGAGGATTAAACATGACAAAGTGGATTTAATATTACCTTTAAAATAAGTTGTCTTTAGTTGACACTTGCCTCAGAATATAATCTGAAGTCTTCACTGTGCCAATGTCTTCACTGCCATCTGCTAAATTCCAGGCCCTCTCTGAGAGTAGATTGTTCTGAGTGGTTTATATCCCAAAAATACTTCTTTATCTTCCCCCTTTCTGTGTCTAAGCCCACATGGCTATTTCTGCTCCTACTTAGTAACTTCTCTGGCCCTCCTCCACCTTTGCTTTATCTTTGCAGCTCCTCCCAGTGTAAGTTTATCTGTGATTTTTCTGAATACGCCAAAGCAGCACCAGGGGTGCTGAACAGGCTGCCCTAAATAGCAAGTCTTAGGCTTCCACACAGCTTCTTTCCCATTGCTGCTTTACATTTGGGAAAATGAATGCTGTGCTAGGTGAACTTCTAGCATGATTCAGGATCTGTCATCCTCTGTGTGGTTTTTAACCCATTTATGGTCCATAAAACTTTTCCCATCCTTGTTTCTCTTCATAGCAGTTAAAGCACAAGCGCACAATACATACTGCATTCCCTTTTCCCACTGATTATATGGTATTAGGGACTGTAGTGATAGGACGAGGGGTAATGGGTTAAAACTTAAACAGGGGAAGTTTAGATTGGATATAAGGAGGAAGTTCTTTACAGTGAGGGTGCTGAGGCACTGGAATGGGTTGCCCAGGGAGGTTGTGAATGCTCCATCCCTGGCAGTGTTCAAGGCCAGGTTGGACAAGGCCTTGGGTGAGATGGTTTAGTGTGAGGTGTCCCTGCCTATGGCAGGGGGTTAGAACTGGATGATCTGAAGGTCCTTTCCAACCCTAACTATTCTATGATTCTATGATATGTTTTATCTTTTATTAATCACAGGTGTATTTTTTTCTGTATCAGTACTTTTATTCTGCTTTGTTAAAGTCTTCTACTAGTTGTTCTACTAGAATTTTGTATTAAAATAGTTGGAGCAAGAAAGTATATTTTGTGATTCTCTTCTTTTTATTGCCACAAAGGTCTTGAATTCTTTTTTGAAGTTACGGCTTGTTTAGCTGTAAAAAATGATGATGGGAAAGAGCTAGAATCTCCCACATAGGTTCCTGCTGTGCTTCTTAACTGCAATTAAAACCATTAAAATCTTAGAGAAACGTAAGATTTGCTACTGTAGAACATATTGTGTTACACCTGCAAACGAGTGGGACATTGCCATGGAACAACAAAGAGAACTTACAAAGGTGAACAGTGTATGTCTGGAGACAAAAATGGCAGGGAGATAGCTCAGAGCAGAGATGGAAATCCACATCTCCATGCCTCAACAGGATTTCCTATTCACTTTAAGTCCAGGGCTCTTTGTCATTTCAACCCATTTCCCAAAATTCACTGATGGGTGGGCAAAACCCATTTCTTAAGTTTGGCCAGGAAGACATGGTACACTGATGCTGTAGGTCTGGGGAGGGAGCTGGTTCTCCATCGCCTGTTACACCACATCCCTGGTTACATCACGCCAAAGGATGTGGCAACTGCTACATCTGACATGACTGTGACACCCACGTTATACTCATTTCCCCCGGGAGTTAATGACTTGAGTTGGATGGAAATTTTCCTACAGAAGAGTTTTCCACCTGAAAATGCTGATCAGACTGAATTGAAGTGCTCTGTGGAAAGGTTTCGATTCCGTCAAAGCTTTCGGTGGAAACAAAGCAAGCCTCGGCCAGGATGTCCCATGGGCAGCCTGCCTTGAACCTGCCAGCTCAGCCTTCTGCCTACACTGCCTTGGACTTTCTGGCCTTGTGGCTACAAGATTTCCCAGCTGACTGGCTCACAGAGGCCAAGACACCAGTTAGGCACCAGCTTTCCCAGCTTTCTCCCTGCATGACCGTCATTCTCTGACTCCCACAGTTGGATGTTTGGTTTTTACAACCTCTTTTGATTCCTTTGTCATGAGTTTTCATCCCACTGAAATTGTCCACGTTTTATTTTTGCTATTTACAATGCAGAGTTGCTGTTGTTGTAGTGCATGGTTTATGCAGCAGAAGGTGGTATCTGCAGTTGCTGTGTTGGTAACACGATTTCCAGCTCCAGGAGCAAGCTCTGAAAGCAAAGCAGGAGGAGGTGGGTTTCCCCCCCCATTAGTCATGTAGCTGCTGTGCTGCTGAACAAAACTTAAGTGCCTGAATAGCTGAAAGAAGTAAAGAGGCCACTGTGTCCTGTGATATGTGCAGGTGATAAATAGGTGAGTACTGGTGATAAGATAGGTTGGAGTGAGATAAATCAGCGTTGGCGATAGGATGGAGTCTTACATAGTGTTGATCAGATATGACTACCAATACTTTATCACATCTGACATTATTCCTGTTGTGCTTAGTTAGCAGATGATGTTCCAGCCCTCGCAATGGGGAGAGGGCAAGAATCAGAAGAGCTTTAACGATTCAGGTAAACCAGTGTCTCACCCCCTGTTTGTGTCACCCCCTTTTCCCCTCCACAGCAGCTCCTGACATCTTGTGATAACTTTGGAACAGCCAGAGCAACATCCACAGCCCAGATGGCTTTCCAAGGGGAGACACCTTACCCTTACTCTTCTGGCATAATCCCAAGGGATTTATGTCCTGCCTATTGGGCTGTGGGTTGAAATTGTCTCCAACTAAACCAGAAGCTCCTCTGGGAATACGACTTCTCTGGTGCTTTCCTTTCCCCTTTGAAAAAATACCAGCAGCCAGGTAACTGGGAATTGAATGGGATAAATCCATTCAAACAAAAAAAAAAGGGGATTTGTTTGGAAAAGTCCAAACAAAATATTTTGGCAGTGGTTTCAAGTAGAAAGCACACTGAGCCTTCTCTTTTCCAGCAAAACAGATGGTTTCTCTTGGAGGAAAACATGACATAGGGGACCATTTTTTTCCTGTCTGCCTCTGAGTGACTGAACAAACAGGAAGAAGCCACTTTCTCCTCTGATGCCTCTGTTTTCCCCTCTACTGGAAGGGATAATATGCCCATAGTTCTCAAGCATCCAGGACAAGCTAATGGGATTGAGAGAGAAAATGTTTTGGCACATAAATACTTGGAGGCTGTAGCCTAAGCAAGGAGGGGGAGCAGCCGTGGGTTTAATCAGACCTAAGCTCTCTGGCTGCTTAAACAGGCTATACCCAGAGGTTAACTTAGGCCTCATACCTGAACACTCCTCTGTTGTCTTCAGATCAAATCCACCTCCCGTTAAGGTTTTAGATAAGGGCTGTGCCCTGGCCTGGACTGTAGCTGTTAATTTTACCTCTGGGACAAGATACTCAGTGCGAGTTACCGTGTGGCTTTCAGGTACCAGAAGATGGTGGGAGATAAGCCTTTCTAGCCACTGCCTCTCAGGGCTCTAATCTTCAGTTTCCCCTGCTTCCCCAGCCTTCACAACCACTCTGCTCTCTGCAGCAGTGCAGACCACAGTGCCCTCAACATGGGTAATCCACTGCATCCGGAGCAGAGGTAGACCTCTACAAGCCTTCATAGGTGGGTTTCCATGAAGAAGCTGAATATCTACTGTTGGCTGCAAGAAAGCTCCAGCTCTGCACTTTAGCCAGCCCAAGGGTGACCATGTAGTGACTCTGCAGGGTTATGGAGAGCATCAAGGAGGGAAACCCTGGCTTAGTGGAGGGAAATTAGAAGCTATTTTTTTTTTTTATCAGCTTGAAGCCATTGCAAACATTTATGACGGTTCAATAGTCTGAGCTGTAGGTATGTTAAAAATATAGAGTTTATTTACAAAATGACTAATTTTCAGGCTTGAAAAGCAAGATGCTTATTTCATCAGCACAGAGGGGCCAGATGGGATCCAGGAGGTGAGTAATGGGCCTAGGGAGGACAAAGCAGTAGCACCATGCAGCTCTGTTCCCCTGCTCCTCCCCATCATTCCTGGGAGCGAACCTACTTCTTGCCCTAAGCCAAGGGGAAAGGGACTTGATGGCTCCCTTGTGTCATACCCCATGCAAACCTCACCAGAAATTTAGGTGGTTTCCCTGCAAAGAATTGTTTAAGGGATTTGGAAAAATCCAGGTCTGCTGGAGCCAACACAGTTCATCCTTAGTGAGCCTGGTAGGCATTAAGCTCTGAGGTCCTGGGATAGTTTTGGAAGTGAATGAGAAGGAGCTATAATACTGTCTGTTCTGTCCTGTGCTGGGTCAGGCTGAACGTGTACATCATAGCTGGCTCTTTGGAGACACAAGGCACAACTGAGTGCCCCTGTCTGCTGTGACTGCATCATCTCCCAGGTTCCTAGTTCGGCAACTACTGGAGAAACAAAACCAGCATTTGAGAGATTAAAGCAAGAATTCACAAAGAGCCTTTCCAGGTCCCATGCGGGAAGGGAGCGTGTTGAGGAGCAGGGAAGGAAACTCAAGGAAGAGTTTCTTTTGACTTGTCCTCTGTCTCTGAGCCATTTTCTGTCTTGTTCGCAATACTGTAGTAGTAGGAGCGGATTATGTTTTCCACAGTAATAAATCCTGGACGTTCTTCCCATCTGCAAAGGCAGAAAGGAACAAATAGAGTCAACAGAAAGGACTAAAGTGGACTGAAGCAATGAGAAGATGCCAAGCATAAAAGAACCTGGGGGAGAACAGCAGCCCAGTTGTACAATGGCTTAGGAGGACGAATGGGACTTTTCTGGGTTAGAGAGGGTCAAAGGCACAGGCATTCTGACATCTTGGTTTGGTACCAGGATTGGTACAGGCAAATGGAGGGGTATGAGAATAAAGAAATAGGTGCATCATTCATCATGGACCAGGGAATGGGATCAAGGCAGGAGACATCATTTGCTTTGTGGTGTTGCCATCTAGACACTGTGTGCTGTTCTTATGCCCAGCAAACGGCTGAACTAAGTGAAAGCCTTACCTGTAGGTCCAGCATTGCTGCATGAGGGTGTACATCTCTGCTGGGCAGTCCGTGGGGCATTCCATGCGCTTCCCTTGCTCTATGAAGCTGATAACCTCTGGACCTTTCATTTTCTAGGATAAGATCGAGTAGGAAATGCTTAATGATTTTGGAGCTGGCAACAGGATTAGAGGGGACAGATTAGAGTAGGGTCTGGGGCAATGCTTTGGGCCCATGCACCACACACCCATACAGTCACTGTTTTCAGCCCAGCACCCAGCAGCAGCGTCTGGTGTTGTGCCCAGCCTGCAGGACCCATCCCAAGCTTGGGAAGAGCAGTGGCTGAGCAACTGATTTTTCATCTCTGCAAGTGAGCAGAAGGATCAAAGGGAAGCTCTGCTTTGATTCAAACCCAAATCATTTTGTTTTCTGTTTCTTCTCCCTTAAATGAACACAAAGTTGCAGGATCCAAACAATCTAATTTGTGCTTTTTGTAAAGTGGAAGTGAGCCTGCCTCCTTTCCATTCTGACAGTGGGAAGAGAACCCACACAAGGAAACAGAAATGATAGTTTTAATGCATGTCAGCTTGATATAGAGTGGGAGACTAAACTGTGGCATTCCTCTGCGATGGACCTGGCTCTGACTCACCTTGTATGGTTTCTGCCCATAGGTGAAGGCCTCCCACATGGTAACACCATAGCTCCACACATCACTCTTGCTGGAGAACTTGTGGTAGAGGACACACTCTGGGGCATACCATTTCAGAGGCCACTTTCCTGCTGTCCTGGCCTGTAGTAAAGCAAAGGGGAATATTTCCACCCTGAGACACAGACTGCTATGAACTGAACCTGAACTCTGCTTTGCTAAATGTTTGTCTCAACCCTGATGAAAATATCCCCTTGCCCTAGGCTGGGAGCTCAAGGTCCCAAGCCCTGAATCCCAAACGGAGCCCAAGCCCTGCTGTCTTGTTGGCCCTGCTCACCTTTGCTGTTACTTACCTTGTAGTAGCTGTCATCGGCACCAAGAGCCTTGGAGAGTCCAAAGTCACTGATCTTGGCATAGTGCTGGTTAACCAGCAGGACATTTCTGGCTGCCAGGTCCCTGTGGACAAAGTTTTTTTCCTCCAAGTACTTCATCCCCATGGATACTTGGTGCATCAGCTCCACGATATTGCTGACTGCAATCTCGTCTCTGGGGAAGATGAAAGGACGACACAGTAATAAGGGACCTGCCATTGCTCTGTACACCATGGTCCCCTCCAAGCTTTCTAGCTTTCTTCTTGCCTATCAGGGCAGGATGAACATGGACATCTCTACTCCAGAAGCATCAGTCCCAGTTATCTCACATGAAAAGACATCTCTTTGTTCTGTTATCAGCTTCCTACAAAGCTAGGCTCCCCTGGCAGCAAAGAGTTTGATGAGAAGTGCAGACAATCAGCCAGCCACATCTTATTCAGTACTCACTTCTTGGAAGCCAAGAACTTGTTGAGCGGCCCTCCAGAAGCCATCTCCATCACGAGCATCAGGGACTCCGCCTCGCAGACCCCAATCATGCGGACAATGTAGGGGTTGTCCAGCTGATGCATGATCTGGGCTTCCTTCATCATTTCATCTTTCACTGTTTTCTCATTGTTGCTCTTCAGCACCTTTACGGCCACATCGATCTGCTTCCTACATAGAGCGCAAAAGGAACACACATGGGATGAACTAAACAGCAGCTGGACTCAGGTATCACAGCCAGGAACGTAACCTGCTTCTCACACGATACTGTTTGATCTCTCAACAGCAATCACAGTGGCTTTTTTTGACAGATCCCTACACAATACTGGAAGGCTAAAGAGAAAAGGACCACCTCGCCCTCGTAACAGTAGCCCAGTATTTGCCATCTGGAGGTGCATCATCTCACACACAGAGATCTGCACTGCCACTGTCATTTTTCAAGGGGGAAACTCAGGCACACAGTGGGCAAAGGCCATCTTTGTGGATTCATAGGCAACACAGATGGCATATCTCCTCAGTCTCACCTCTTTGCCCTGACGTGGACCAAGATGACCTTAGAAGCATGGACTTGCTCCTCTGAGCCCAGAAAATGCCTTCAGAAGTGGTAGTCTTATGCCTGGGAGTGTGCAATCACACTCTTGGGCAATGAGGCTGCCACTGAAAGTCAGTGGAAAGTCATCACTGACATTCCAGGGTATCTCATACCTCCACCCCATTATCACCTAGGTCCATCTACCCAGAAACAGGCTAACCCTCCTCCAGCTTCCTCAGCATCCTTCAGGGCAGCACTCACTTTCTCATTTTGTAAACTCCCTTCTTGACGCAGCCAAAGTTTCCTGCCCCCAGTTCCACTTCGTCGATCATCAGATGGTCCCTCTTCAGGAAGAGTTTCTTATCCTTCAGTTCCTCGGGATCACTGTACGGGCTCTCGTAGACACTGGTGTCCATGGGTAGCAGGCGCGACTTTCCTGCACCTTCCCAAGGGATACAGTTGTTTGTAACAGCAAATGATGCACCCTTCCCATGCCTCCTTCCCTCACTGACTGGGAAGGTTTTCTCTAGTCTCTTGACCAATTCTTCCCCAAGCTCCAGCACTCAAACTTCCCTCCTGGGCACATCCCTTCCTTTCACATCCCATGGCCTCTCGCAGTTACAGCCGCTGAAGGAGCTAGGATGGGGAGAGGTCTCTGACCCACATATCAGACCCTGCAGGACCTGGGTATGTGCATGACTTCACCCCATTGAAACAGAACTGAATACACTTGAGTATTTAGCAGGCAGGATGGAAGATGGGGAATAAGACTGGAATTGTTTCCCTGGGTATGATGGGGAATGGGATAGGGCTTGGTTCACTGGTGCAGTTTGGCAATATTCTTCTCTCAGGACCCTGAAATGACTGGGTACTCCTGGGTGCCTTTATAAGAAAGGAGCTTTGTAACAGCTCTTTGACCAGAAAGTGGTGTAGATGTGTCAGGTAACCCTGTGGCTCCTGTGACATCCCCAGGTCCTCTCTCCTGTTAAGACAAGAGGGCTTTCAAAGATGCTCACCTACAGGCTCTGGCGTGTATCCGTCTGCATTTAGAGGCCCCAGGTGTCTCTGGAAAATAAATGGGGATAAAGTGCATAAAGAAGCCAGAAACTGCTTCAGTTTGTAATGGGAGAGGAGAGGGACGGGGGCTCTGCGACCCAACAGTGCCCAGCTGGTGGTTCCATCTAAAAACCCTGGGGTGGGTACAAGAGATTGCAGCGGTATCCGGCTGACTTTTCTCTTCCAATCCTGGCTGGAAGTACCCCAAAGGGACAAGTCTCCTGCAGTAGGATGGGTCATCCAAGTCTCTGCTGCTTGCTTTGTGACAGGAAGCCTGAAGGCAGCCCAGCATACAGCCAGCACACCTACCTGCCCAGAGAGCGGTCCCTGTGAGCAGGGACACCACGTGCCACCATCCCAAAAGCAGACAGTGACAAAGCAGCATGGGACACCTTTGTCCAGCACAGCTTTGAATGCCAGCGCTGCTTGCAGCAGGGTCGCCGTGACATGGGATCCCACCGCAGATTGTGAAAGCTCTCTGGGAATGATGGGTGAATGCTCAGGCCTTTATTTAGCCTCTGCTGGGCCCTGGGATGGGCTCAGGGAGCCCGAAGTGCCTGGTTTCAACATTGAGAGCGGTGGCTGAGTGCAGCCATACCCCAAGGCCAGGACACAGAGGGAGCACAAAGACCTGGCCAGTGGCCAGCGGCCAGCAGCAAGGCTGAGTGTTCCCAGAATCCCACCACGTCTTCCTTGCTCCTGCCTGGCAAGGAGGGCAGTGGGGAGAGGGCTCCCCAGGGACAGCCCCACATGTTGCAAGGAGCCCAATATGAACGGAAACCATTTTCAGCTCTAACGGTAGCTGCGTCCAGCTATTCCTCATCCCCATCCAAGCTGGAAAGGGGACAACGTTGTGGCTGGGCTTAATATATTCCATTTGAGTTACTGAGTTTTAGAGCAGAGTTTGAAGAGCAAGCAGAGGTTGAGCAGCAAGCTTGAAGTGCAATAACGTTAAACCACCAAGGGACCAATAGAACAGACCCTCCCCAAAACTTACGCTCACAGAGGGATGGGTTGGTGGAACTGGTGCTGCAGATGCTGCGAATCAGGAAAGAGAAGTCGTTATTAAGAGTCTGCCTATGTCCTAAGCAGGATCACAGCATCAGTCCTTGAAGGACTGTGTGGCTGCCTCTGTCTCATCCCCCTTTTCCCCTTTTAGCCAACAAAGGTCTAGAAACATGCCTGGATGTGGGTGTTATTCCTAGACCAGCCCTCAGGGGTTGCAGGCCCACTGGACCACCCTGCAGTCTCCAAAGCAGGCTGAGCTGTTCCCCAGAGCCCCCCATCCAAGAGACTGAAGGTCCCAGGGTGACATTTGTGACACTTGGAGCAGGACAGTGACCCATGGTTTTGAGTCTCAGCTGAAGGAACTCACGAGGAGCCAGACTGGCAGGACATGTTTCCTGCTGCCTAAAGAGCCCGTCATTCTTTAGGAGCTGCCTTTGTGGCTCCAGAAGTCTCTAACCTATTTGGAGCACTGATTTCCTGACTTTGGGCCACCCTAGGCCAGGCCACTCTTAGCAAACACAACATGAGACTTGCCCAGTTTGCCAGAGGACCTCATCATTCCCTCACTAGCAGAGTGTGAGCAAGGTTGGACATGGTAAAGGACACTTGGGTTGGTGCTGCTCAAACTGGTTCCTCTTGGTGGTAAGTCAAGGTGAGGGATGGCACTGGGAGATGTCAGCTCACCTGGCATGTTGGGGTTGGGGCAGGTTTCCCTCAGGTAGAAAATCAGCCCGTCCGGTTTGAGTTTCAGGTACTCCACCAACTGGGAAAGGAATTGGAGGAAGAAGAGATGGTTGTGAGGAGAAAATCAACTCTTTCTCTGCAGCAACTCATGTGGGAATGATTTCTCTCCGATTTATGGCAGAAGGAATACTTTATTCCTTTCTCTCCTCTATCTATGCACTCCGGTATCTCCTAGTGTTGCATACCTGAATACCTGCCAGGGGTGGGAAGAACTTGGGAAGTTAGATAAGGGCTGAAGAAAGACAAGAGGAAAATCTCCAGGAGGAGAGCTGGGTAGGGCATTCTCACTGTAATGCTGTTGTTGTCCCAGCCAGAAAGGTCTTTCAGTTGTCTTGTGTTTGATAAAGCCTGAAAGAAATCCTTTGCTTTCCACAGGACCCCCAGGGTGAGCTCTCTGCATCCTGGCTAGGTTTTCACTGCAGATTTTTAACCTCCTGTTTAAAACTGGGTAGTTTCTTTACCATCAGTTCAAGCACAGTGAGGACTTGACTGGCTGGAGACAGCCAGCCCAGCCCCTGGCCACCGGACCGCAGAGGAGACGAATCTGTCTCTTCCCCTCCTGCCCGGTTCAGATTTCATCTGCAACTGGGAGCTTGGCATGGTTCTGTTGCCATAAAAATGCCCCAAAGCCTTTGTTTTCCATCAAATTCAGAGTGAAAACAGTCCTGGGAATTTGGAAAACCCAGCAAAACAAAGTCACTGTCCCACAGACAGCCCTGCCCAGGAGGAAACATTGGATATCCCTTCCCCGGAGCAGGGGCTGGGCTCCAGGGGTGTGTGTGACTCCCCAGCAGTGCCAAGAGGTGCTGGACCATGTGTTACATTCCCTAAACCCCTGCTCCATCCTCATGAGGACTGCTGGGGCATTACAGCCATCACCACTTCCCAAAGCCCCCGACTCTCAGGGGTGATAGGATGTTAGGATATTAGGATGATTGGATATTAGGAAAACATCCTTCCTCAGAGGGTGCTCAGGCATTGGAACAGGCTGCCCAGGGCAGGGCTGCAGTCACCGTCCCTGCAAGTGTTCACACACCGTGGAGATGAAGACCTTAGTGACATGGGTTAGTGGTGGCCTTGGCAGTGCTGGGAACGGTTGGACTGGATGATCTTAAAGGTCTTTTCCAAGCACGTTGGTTCTATGATTCCATGTGTCCCTGGCACTCGGATCTTCAGTCCTGTAAAGACTGTGGCAGCTGGCTCAGGGCTTCTGGCCCCCCCCCTGCTTTTTGCCCTTGGAACATAAAGTGCCAATCAGCACACATCAGTTTTGCTGGTCCAGGAGCAGTGAGGGATGAGTGGGAGGGACAGCCTGGGATGAGCAATCTCATCAGGGCTTGCTGCACGCAGAGATCCAGCGTGCACACTGTGGCTGAATGTGTGATGGTTGCTGATGGGGTGCAAGTATAACGAATACAGCCATCTCAGGTACCCTGGCTTGATGCTAGACATGAAAAGCACTGATCCTCTTGTTTGTTTGGAGAGGCACTGGGCTGGCATAAGGCGTGAAGGCAGTGGTAAAGCCAGCACTGTTTCAGAGCTGCTGTGATAACCTAGACTTGGATCCACTTGGCTAGGAGTGCATAGAAATGAGGTGATCTGATAGACACCCAGCCCCAGGGGATGTGAGTGTTTTCTGGAAGGGACTACAACCACCCATCTGTGGTCTTAAAGCCTTTAGAGCTCCACATGGCCTGGCCTGGCCCTCAAGACTAACAGGGGGGAAGTGCCTTCCCTTTATTAGGACCAATGGTCAGCATCCCACAGTGCAGTACCTGCCAGAGCGTGTCGAACTTGGTCCCCTCTGGGATGGAGTACTTGCCGGACTTGTCGTGGTCTATCCGATAGTGATACACGGTTTTGCCATAGACAAGGGAGAGGGCATAGGTGCCGTTTTCCTTCCTTTCTCTCAGCCTGGTAGGGAAGAGAACTGTTAAAAACAACCCTAGGTTTTGCCCTACAAATTATCATGGCTGCAGCAGTGGTGGGCGCATGATAAGGTGTTCCTGCATCCTGCTGTTGGAATTGCCACATTCCTGACACCCCTCTGCAGAGGCTGAGAAGGGACCCTTCACCTTCTGTCTCTTGCCCTTCTCCTCCACCCTGTCCAGTTAATTCTTTCTTTCCCTAAGTCATTCAGGAGATAATTTAACTAAGGTCTGTCTCACCTTGGCAGAGATACAGAGCCAATGCTTTCTCCTGTATTTTATTGGCCATGCATTGTCAGCGTTAAATGTCTTCATCCCTGAACTCTGCATCTCATATCATCTGGTGCATTAACACACATAATTCATAGAGCTACCTAAACATGAGAGACAAATGATGCTCCAGATTGGCTCTTCATGGAGATCAAGCACTGTCTTGAGAGATCTGTAACCACAGTCTGACCGTATTCAGCTAAATCTCTTCTCAGGAACCATCATGTGAAACAAGTAACTTGAGGGTAGTGGAGAGGGGGAAATGGTAAAGAGGACAGTTCACAACATCTGCCAGGGTTTTCCATACTCACAAAAACTTCCCATCAGGTTGTGCCCCTGAGTAGAGCCTCCGTTCAGCTTCGTCCCGAGTGATGCTGCCATGGTACCAGGGCATCCTCTCATGGGCTGTGGTGGCAATGAGCTTCTCTACCTGTGGAGCCTGGCTTATGATGGCCTGTTCGAGTGCATCCCCCTGGAAAAGAGTGAGAAATGAGGCTTTCTGCCACTCTGCTGCCTTCTTGCGTGGCTTCAGCACAGTTTTGGGTAGATGACCCAGGAAACGAGACCTTCCATCTCGTAATGGCCTTAATCATGACTATCATACTAGTGGGTTGAATTCTGTTCTGCTGCAGAGCAGAATTCCTTGCTTATCTAAATTGGTCCCATCCCTTGAATCCATCAAGTCCATTGACTTGCTGCTGAGGGAACAGAGAAGTTATCGCATTTGTACAGAGCATCTTGAGGTCAGGATCTTGGGTGTCTTTCAACCTCACATTCCTGGAAGACCAGGACCTCTTTCTGGTGCTTCAGCCTGGCTGCTCACTGCCCCCAGCCACAACTTGTTAAAGGAGTGGAAATCATGTGGGGGGCCCTAAATTGAGTTTATTGGCCCCCCATGCTTTACGAACCACTGTAGTTTTTCGTTTGCCAGTAGGTGGCAATGTCCTTTGAGTTATCTGCCAGCATCCACCCTGCAGGCTCCTGGAGAAGCCCTATAGAACACGTCCTTCTGCCAAACACCTTTGGTCTAAACCAGACCAGATTTCGAGATCTATCCAAGAAAGGCTCCATAGGGAGAATGCACAAGCTGTCTTTCTGGGAGAACTTGGAAGTGTCTGAGTAGCCACTGTCAAGGTGACAGCAAGGAGAAGGAGATAATTTTGTGGCTGCCAGTGTGACCATTCACAGTTTTGCCTTATACATGCATTGTGTATTCCAGTCTATAATAAAATCCGTGAACTTGCCTGTATTTACATCACAGAGAGACATGATGCAGTGCCCAGTACCTCAGTCTCACAGGCAAAACCTCCCCTGACTTTAAAGAGCAAGGAAAGCCTGAGCAAGGATTTAAGCCTGGTTTTCTTACATCTTCAGCACAACGTTACGGAGGCACAGACAGCTCATGCGGATAACATTGGCCTGACTGAAGTGAGCATCCCGTGTGCCCCAGAGGAGCAAATGGCACGTGGGGAAATGCTTGCGAGGTGGGCAGTGAGCTCCAATGTGGCACCACACAGAGGAAGAGTGAAGGTGTGGGAAGATGTCGAGACCTGTCTCTGAGGAAGAAACTGGAAGAGAGAGATTTAAGCCTGCTTTTAGTGCCAGCAGCCTCTGAGGAGAAGAGCCTGGTTTTACCATGCTGTAAGAGGAGGGATGACAGCGGCAAGAGGTCAGAGTGACAAGCGGCAGTAAGCCCCAGGGAGCACCCCCAGTCCCACCCCACCTTTGGCAGCAGCCGGTACCTCGAGTTTCCACGTCTGCCGGACGTATTCCCGCACCATATTATCCCTCATGCTGTCGAAAACACCGGGCTGGGGCTCCACACCAGTGGGGCGGTTGCAGGGCTTGCGCAGGGTGCAGCAGAGCCCGTCAGCATCCTTGGAGTAAAACTCACAGAGCTCCTCCGGCCCGCAGTGCGCTTTGCCCCCCACGATGGCGTAGGTACCGTTCATCTGGCGCTCGATGGCGTAGTGGTAAAACTGGAGGTTGCAGACCATGGAGAGGACGTAGCCCCCCAGGCTGCGCAGGCACTGCCGCAGCAGGAACAGCCCATCCGACATCCCCGCCAGCTTGAGGTACTCCTCGGCTTCTGCCCTGGCAATGCTGCCGTAGTAAAAGGGCAGGTGAGCTGCAGCATCTGGCATCTCCGTGTGCTCACCGGGACGGCCTGGGCTGCCTCACGTGCTGCTGGTGCTCAGGCTGGAAGAGAGAAGCAGAACTCTTCACCAACACGTCAGTTTGCAGACAGGTTTAGGTGGAATCCAGCCTGGTCTGCCTGCAGGTTCCTCAGCCCGCAGCTGACTCCCTCTAGGGTCGTTTCATCGCATGGTGTAGCAATGGGTGCGTTCATACCCCACAGTGAATCCTGACCTGGCGAAAGTGTAAGTAAAAATCCATCTAACCTCGATTTAAAAATCTCGAGCAACAGAGAATGCACTAAATCCTACAGCAAATGGTTCCAGCAGTTAAATATCTTCACTATTAAATATGTGCTTCTTAATCCATCCCAAAGTTTTTAGCTTTGACTTCCTACCATTTTCTCCCCAGCCCTGTTCACAATAAAAGGAAATTCTTTTGCCTCTCTGAATAAATCAGCTTTGCCATGAGGGTCTAAAATGCCAAAATCTTAAATGTAATTTGATTCCAACACAAGATGGGCATTAAGGGTCTAAACCCATTTAGGTACACAATTACACCAAACATAGCAAAAGGACATAAACCTAAACCTGAGTGCTTCTGGGCAGACATTGACCATCAGATGACAGCAACAAGCTGAAACCTTCCTCTAATTGTCTCTTGAATACTTTATGGATGTTTTCCCACAATACCTGACGCTGGCTGCTTTCTGTATTTGGCTGGAGCTCACACGTGGCCACTGTCACTGCAACGGGAGTTTAATCCCACTGTCTCTGCCAAGCTGCAATGTGCAAGTGTTACCAGAGCCCCCTGTTCAGAAGAGCATAAACCCCCAAATGAATGTGCTGCTGTAGCATCAGCTCCAGTGGGAACCAGCAAGAAAGAGCACTTTGTGACTGAGTCACTGCAGAACCCCTTTGCCAAAGAGCTATAGGTTTGGTATCAAATCATCTAAAATCCCACCCACAAACACAAGCCAATTTCCAGCAATTAATAGAAACATTATCATATTCATTTGTTCCCTGGAGCCTGATCTTTGATTTTGTCACTGTGCAAATGCTGACACCTAAAAGATCAGAGTGTTTTTCTCCATCCACGTCCCATAAATGCATCACCCGCTTTCAGAGTAGAAAAAAAACACTGTTTCTTTGGCCAGCACACCGGCTATGTGCCTTGTATGCTTCCCAAGGTAACTCTCATTTCTGGACATGATGGGAGAAGTCACTGCCCAACGTGCTGGCCCCACTGCACTACGCCTGAAGTGTCCTCTGCTCCCAGGCAGTGGCTGGAGCTGTGCCTGGGCTGGTGCTCAGCCCTGCTCCATCTACTCTGCCTGCTTCAGCCCACTCAGCAGCATCGTGACAGGGCCGCATCCTGCCAGTCTCTGGGATGGCTGGAGCTGGGAAGGGCTTTGTGTTAGCAGGAACGGGGTAGGGATCAGGAGGAAACTGCTCAGGAGAAACCATTCTGCTGTGTGCAGCCACCCTGCTCTGCTCAAGCTACAACAGCAAAGACCCACGGGGGGCTGGATTTGTGGCAACCAGCCTCTTCTCTACCTATTTGTCGTCTTCATTAAGACCAGAAATGGCCCGGATGAGAACAGGAAGGGAGAGCAGGCTCTGCGGAGGAGGAGGCAGGAAACCACAACAGGAAGCCGTCAGTGGCGTTTGCAGTTGGGTGCGGGACTAGCGTAAACCGTACCAAGAGCAGCACAAATAAGCGTGAGCTGTGAAGCCCCTTTCATCAAACGAAGCAAAGTGGGGTCTTGGCAGACCTGCCAGTCTGGGGCACGGAAAGCAAAGGGAAACACCCCGCAGGCAAACCTTAACTGGAGTCAGTGCTTAGAACCAAGGCAACGTCCTGATTCCTTGAGGTCTCCAGGCATCAAAGCAGCCCAGGCACTGGACAGGTATAATCCCTGGGTTCAGCTCCTGAGACAAGACAACTGCCAGGTCTTCCTAGCCTTAGCCTGGTCCCAGGGGAAGGCAGGTCCCAGGAAGGAAGGATGTGAGAAGTGAGGATTGCAGCTCTTGGTTTTAACTGTAGTCAGGCTCATGAGTCATGTTCACAAGTCCAGGAAGAAGAAGTGCTGAGTGGGCAGTGGAAGGTTGATGTTCTTCGTGTGCTACTAATTTCCACTAATTACCTGGGATAAGCAGTGACTAGGTACCCAAATGTGCCCCTTCCCTCTTCTGGCAAGTCCAGGAGCAGAGCATCACAGCAAATGGAACATGTCTGGCAATTGTTCAGAGAGGTGAAAATGAGAGGGCAGAAGCCCTTGATGACCACGGAGCTCCCACAGAGTTTCCAGCTGCCTACACAAGGAGTTTTGCTATAAACAGGCTGCTTTTCCTCTCCAAGCACAGGGCTGTGAGTCAAGAGAGACTCATAGAGATATGAGAGTGAACCCAGGGATCAGAGGTTGGTTCAGGTGATGCCACCCATTTTGTACAAGCCTTGTGCCACAAGTAAAACCTGTTAGAAAATTACCCTAATTAGAAAAAACTCCCAAGTCCCCAGGCTTGAAGGAAAGTCACATCCTGCAAGTCTGAGGGCAGATTTGGACAGGATGATTCCTAGCCCCTCGGAAGCTCTTGCTTTAAAAAGGTTTATTCTACCATCCTGGCTCTTCCTATTGCTCATCCACCTGCACAGGGTCTTCTGGGCATAGATAAGCTCCTCTTCCCAACTACAGCACTGCTCCTAACACTACCTCTGCAACCTGAGCAACCCTGATACAAGCTCAACAGACCCGCACAAACCTCACGCAGATTTTGTTTTCTGACACTGTGAAATGCAGATGAAAATGAGAACTGATTTCATGGATTGCTTTTATGAACGTAACAAACCCATGCCTGGAAGAAGCTGTGCAAGGGACTCTCCACCACTCTTAATGTCAAGTAAAAGGACCTGATTGTTCCAGCACCTGCTGAATCTCCTGTCCTTTGGGATGCAGTGACCCAGATCCCAGGTGTTGCTGTTGGCTTCAGGAGCACCACCACCCCCAGGCTGGCAATAGCATTTAGGGAGAACGGCTTTAAGACCAGGGCTCCTGTGGTAATGGCCACAAGTTGGTGTTGACATGAAGATGCGCTTTAAAAAGCAACAGCGTATAAAAAGTATTCGAATCTGTGCACCACAACACACAGGAAAGGCAGGCAGGAAGCTTTTGAGATGTCGATCAGATCTATATATATCACTGGCCACTTGGCTTTACTTAGATCAGACAAGAGCCATCAGGAGCTGGTTGGATTTTGTCATTTCTCAGAACAGCAGAACCACTTTGTGTAAACCCAGAGCCAGTCCCTGTGAGCAGCAGGGTGCCCTGGTGAAACCGGAGGAGGCACTGGCGTGCTTCAGCAGCCTGTTAGGGCCATATTTTCTGTATCATTGTCCTACCAGCAATAATTTCTTGTCTAACACAGCCCTGGCTGGCTGTGCTGTCTCTTTAAAGTGGTGGGGTCAGCCTGGGGTAGAGGAGGGACCTGCCCAGGGGAGACCTGGGAGGATGGGAGCCATGCAATGGGGAATCAGCCCTGGAGAAGCCTTAAGGGGCTCGGGAGGTGGTAGTAGAGCTGCTGCTAAGGTTTGTGTTGGCAATGTGGGGAGGGGGCTCTTTAGCAGCTTATCAAAGGTGTTTAATTGAGGAGGGAGTGGGCTCTTTAACACCTTATCAAGGGTGTTTAAGTGGGGAGGGAGGGCAGATAGCGGGGGTCCGATGTGTGCGGGGAGCTGCGCCTGTGGCATGGGTGAGAGGTGAGGTCAGCCTGGAGGATGGGGCGGGGGTCGCTGTTGCGCATCAGCTCCGTCCTGAGCTCCCAAACGGCCTGCGCTGCCTCTTTGTCTTGCTGCTGGTGTGAACTGGCCTCTTTGAACCCTCCTGGGCAAGGAAGATGCTTCTCGCAGCGCCTTGCATACACCCACCCGCCTGCAGTTAATGCACGAGTAAATGCGCTTTCTTATGGCGCTCTTTACAGCCCCTTCTTTCCAGCCCTTTAGCGGAGCGGGGCTGAGCAGAGGCTGCAGGCAGGATTTAGGGGTGGGAGCAGGGTGAGAGGTGCACAGAGGGGTGGCAGAAAGCACAGTGGGACTCGAGCAGCAGGTACAGAGGGAAGAGCTGCTGTACCTGCAGAGGTGCTGGCCATGTACAGGGACCTGGCTTCCCCCAGGCTGCACAGGAGCTGCTGTCCCCCATCCCTTCCCCTGGATTCCTTTTGCTTATCTGAGCACTAGGTTTACACTGGAGAGCCTGGTTGAAGGTGTGAAGGGCTGAGAAATGTCTGTCTGCAGTGTACAAATTCCCTTTCCAGGCCATCCTCCCCAGGAGGAGCTGGCACCGTGCGAGAGGATGAGCTGAAGAGCTCGTTCCTGGAGCTCAGGCACATGGGGTGGTTTTGAATTATGTAACAAAAGGCTTGAAATCGCTTTGATTCAACTTGAAATGCTTCTTAGTTCAAAGAAAAACCTGAAAAACTGAACTTTGGATTGGCCTGGCTGCATCCTAATTGTTCCTGATGAACGTTTTCTTTTATTTATGTGCTCCATGGCAGCTCTTCCCAAGATTTCCTCATGAGCACTCACATTCCTGGCTGTAACTGCTTTCCTACCCTCCCTGCTGACTCTTCATTAAAACCTCAGCTCCTCAAGCATTTATTCACACTTGAACTCTGTGTGAGTGGGAGTTCATGAAAGTGTGAGCCCATTTGTGTCTGTGCTCAGGAGCAGTGAGCCTTCTGCCTGCATGGCAAGATAAGCATCTGGGTGAGTATCACTGACTCAGTCCTGCCTGACAGGGTTGTGTTTACTCCACAGAAAAACCTGCTTCGTTTCCACTGAGGACCTTGCCTGCTCTTGCTGCCCTTGAAGCAAGCAGGTAAGTCCAAACTGCCCCTCCACTGCCTGTGCATCCCACACCAGGTACAGCGATGCTTCCTATTCCTCCTCCCTCTTTGAAGTGGAACATGGGAACCCCTTGGCCCCAGCGACAGTCCACAGGCCTTTTTGGGTGGAAAAATGTTAACATTGCACAGCAACACTTGCAAGGGCCACAGAGGGACCCGGTG